AAAGACAAAAAAGACTCAATCGTGCAAAAACTGGCGGTGTTCGACGGGATTTGAACCCGCATAGTACAGAAGGCCTTTAAGCGAAGCCAATGCTCTCCTAGTTGAGCTACAAACGCCACGCCTGCATAAGCAGCTTTCGCACCAGTGCAACAGTAAAATACACCAGACTTGACAAAAGACTATTAAGCTATTTATATGCCCCATTCAAAAGTCATACCTGGGGAATTATCTCCGGTATCCATTCTAGCGTCTTCGGCTGTAGATGATCAACCGAGTCGATGATGAACACGTACTCATCACGTACATATCTGCCGATAATGTTCAGCAGCTTGTTAAAGGCCTGGATTTGAGGGCTAAAAAAGTCAGAAGAGACACAAAGTTAGTAAGGAGGAGCACTGAGTATACCTAATGAACTCAGTTAATTTGGTCTGCACCATACTATCGAACAAGTTCGGCTTTCCATGTACAGCCTTATTGAGAATTCCAATTCCATGATGGATCCGCGAAAAAAATACAACAGAAAGCATACTCATTCGTATATAACACAAAACCGCGCAAAGTAAAGAAGAGAATTTGTGAAATACATGTTGAATAAAACATTTCGGAATCCTTCTGAGCATTGGAGCTTGGAATGCAAAACCTGCAGTTTGTACGAAAACACAAGCAAACAAATCATTTTTATAGTGTTACTCTCTATATATAAGTAGCCTTTGTTGATTAAAGTCTTTACCCGATCAAATTCACCGCTTGTGCCTACTGACATATTTGCGTTTGCAGACAAATGAGATCAACCTTGTATAAAAACCAGCTACTGTACTACATACGAAGGAGTATTTACATATCAGTGAGGGCTGCGAGCACTAGAGATCGTGCGTCTACCTGTACAGATCTGGCACTTTTCGTCGCCTTTTTAATGTGACATTTTTCTTATTTTTGATATACTTATGTTGCTTCTAAACGACTAGGACATTTGAAGGCTTACATCTAAGTTTGTCTTGAACAAACTGAACTGAGTCTTCGTCAAGCTGCAATTTCCCCAGGTTAGTAGCCACACATTTTTTCAGTGGTTATCATTCGTATTTTCCGAGAGAGAGTGAACGCTTACGGTAAAATGTTAGCTTAGAAGCCGTCAGGATGCGAGCAGCAAGTAAAGGAAAATTTTGTAGAGTGATACCACGTTTTCATCCCATCACTCAACTATATGTAGAATATACACAAATTTAAACATGGCCAGTTCTCAATGGTCAGGAAAGCGCTGATATGCAAAGTTCGAAAAATCGGACAGTGATACATATAAGCGCACATCAACTACACCAAATGTTTATTTTCGACGACTATCTGACGAAAGCGACATCATTTTTTCCCGAAGTGTCAGGGGTTAAAATAAGCTATCCAGAAGCATAATTAAGTTAATATGTTAAACATTTGGATTAAGCAGTAGATGACCTAGGTTGATTGTCGGATAAAGCAGACTCACTCCCCGTGCCGATTT